AGTGCTTTGTGGTTAAAACCTTGCAGTTAGACGATTATTTGTACTCTTACTTTACTTACCTTTGTCATAGGACTATGCATTTGTACAATGTAACGTGGTGGGTTTTTTTTTCTCTGATGAGTTTCACTTTGAAAAACAGAGAGAATTCATAATGTGTGATATTAAACAAAGAAGTTTCTTCTAGAGAAAAGTGGCAGAGGGCTTTTATAATTATCGTTTCCCCCTGGTGGTAGTAAAATATTCACCCCAGCTAGATTTGAAATTTGGTGCTGAATTAAGAAAGTTCTAAAGCAAGGGTTAAAACTTTCTTTCCTGGGTAATGATTCTGTTCCTCCTGGACGCAAAGAAACATTGCATGCAACATTAAACAAAGTATGTTTTTCTAATGCAGTATATATTTCAGTATTTAAAATAATTTAAGAGAAATGATATTTCATTTTTTATTTCCAGAATGGGCTGGAGATACTGAAGAATTCTGTCTAGAAATAAGATTTAGAAACAAGCATAGAAAGATAATATTTATATAAAGAAGATAAACAGTTTCATTTCTGACAAGTTTTTGCTTATACTTTTTGGTAAAGTCTCCAGGTTCAGGAAGTCTCCATGGGAATACCAACTTTACTGGAGAAGAGGATTTTCAGAAGAAGCCTAACATTACTGAAGAGTCAAAACCAGATCAGTTCTGTAAGTGAAAGCAGAAGTAGAATGGCAGTAATTGAACAATTCATCTGCATGACTTCTGGCTTTGGTGTGTTTTCCCTAGCATTGGCATTGAACATGTGTTCTGAACTTCCAACATGGACAGTGTCAGGCTCACCATCGCTTTCTGACTTGAGACAAACAGAACAGACTTCATGGAAACCCAGTAAGGTGTGAATTGACTGTCTCTTCTAGATCTTTTGGGCTTTATTTCTGTCGTGGTTTAAACCCAGTCAGGCAACTTGTTCACTCACTCCCAGTGAGTGGTGCCGGGCTGACAACAATCGAGCCCCCCCCACCCCCCCCCCACCCCGGGGCTCTCCCCTTCCCCACTCCCGGAGGAACGGGGAGGAGGATCGAAAGGGTGAAACTTCTACGGGTTGAGACAAGAACAGTCCAGCAACCAATGTACAACACAAATCACCACCGCTACCACCAACGACAACAATGATAAGGGAAAATAACAAGGGAAGAGAATACGATACCACCGGCCAAGAAACGAGGCCCACCCGGAAGCCCGTGTCCTTCTGGGTAACTCCCAGTTACCCCCTACCCCGGGCATGACGTGCTGTGGTATGGAATACCTCCCTGGCTAGCCTGGGTCAGGCACCCCGTCTCTGCTTCCTCACAGCTTCCCCTCCTCCCTGGCAGAGCATGAGCCTCACAAAGTCCTTGGTCAGGATAAACATCACTTAGCAACAACCGAAAACATTGGTTTCACCGACACTGCTCCCAGGCTGGAAGTCAAAACACAGCACTGCACCAGCTACCACAAAGGAGAAACATGACTGCTACTGCTGAACCCAGGACAATTTCCTACATGTTCATGGTAGCAGTTTCTAATTTTTGAAAACTGCTTTACGTCAACACTCAGAATAATTTCAATTTTCTATGAGAAAGAAACAGTAAGAAAGAGAATAGTGACAAAGCTAGAATGGTTTATTCCAGTCATTCACTTGACATGTTAATTCTTCATCTGTAGATGATTTCATCAGTACAAATGACTTCCTCACTTGATCCAGACCCCCCAGTTTCTCCAGCTTCAGGAAGTGAGGAATCCATTGGAGGCATTCAGGAGCCCCTGAGACACAGGATCTTGCCAAGTGGACTGGAACTTTCAGATTTTATTTTCAGTAAGAAATTACAGTTTATAATTGCACTTTGCAATATTTCTGCTGGAAAATCTCTGAGGAGTTTTGAAGCACAGTGAGTTGCACTATAATAGACAGTTACCCTGGGTGCTGAAACAAGACTGAGATATGTCTGGGCAACTACAGAATTTAGATCTGTGTTCATCACACGTCTTTCGTAGGGGTGTGTGTTACATTTTTAAGCACAATTTTAAACAGCATTTTCCAAATCAGCTGAGTTAGCCTTGAATTTCATGCCTCCTCCCCCAGTTATATTCTGAATATAATTATCAAGGCCGGGTTGGACAGGGCTTGGAGCAACGTGGACGAGTGGAAGGTGTCCCTGCCCATGGCAGGGGGCTGGAACTGGATGAACTTTAAGGTCCCTTCCAACCCAAACTGTTCCATGATTCTCTGAAAGAGACTTCAGTAGAGTGATTTAATTTTATAAAGAAAAATGAGCTTCTGGTTTTGGGGGAAAAAAGGCTGTAAGCTAAGCTTCCAATTCCTATTACTGTTTTCATTTATTGCCCTGATTTAAATTTTCTTCCATATTCAGCTGCCCTCTGACCCACTTCCAGTTGGCACCTATCAATGACTGCCATTACTTACTGATAGTGAATTTAGTTCAAAAGGATGCTTGTGGAACTAGATAGAAGCCTCTTTATCTACACTGGGTAACATTAATGTACACAGTTGTGGGTATCCGTTTGGAAAAAGGAGCAAATTTAAGGTGGCTGTTTTCCAGTTGGCAGCTGCAACTTACTACCAAGATTATCAGATTAATGACCTCCAAACCACAATAATGTTTAAATAATTTCTACCAGAGGTTTTCTTTTATACAAGTAAGAGTGCCTACAGAAATGTGTTCTAAATATTGGGGTTTAAGTATTAAAAGAATCAGTGGAAATCACATTGTATGGAAATGTAGTGTGGTACTGCACAGGAAGAACTTAGAATTCTTTCCATATCTTATTTTTGCACATCTGAAGTTACTGTCCCATCCGTAAGTGCTTCAAAGTTGCTTGTAAGATATATCTGCCCTACAGCACAGGAGAAATCCAGCCACCCAGAGGAATGCAACCTCTCAAGAGTCAAACCCCCAGTTGAAAGACGAACTCCATTTGTCACTCTTCCTGCCACTGAGAAGATTCTTGACACAGTTTATTCAACTGACAGCGAGGAGGCCCTGCAACCTTTTGGCTCTTCAGTAGTCAATTTATGCAGCAAGTCAGAGGTATTTCCTATCAGTGCTTTTGGCCCTGAGGACAGAAATTATGAAACCTCTGTGTTTGGAGAGTATAAGGAAAAGAGACAAAGGGAATGTGTTCAACCAGTGTCCCCTAATGTCACTTCACAATATAAAAAAAGCAAGTGGCTAAAATATCAAAACAGTGCTCAGTGTGACTTGACAACTGTAAACAGTGATGGTAGGGAAGTGACTGATGACATATGTGCGGAGAACCTCCTTGGAATGCTGCCGAGTGACACAGGAGAGTGCAGCACTGTGAATGAAAGCGCTCCCCACTCTGCAGCTCTACTGACAGCAAAGAGCGCCCTTGGTAAATGCTCTGCAAATACCAGCCACCGAGATCTGATTTCAGAGAGGAAGTTACTTTCTCCACACTTCAGTCAGACACCTTTGACTGAAGCAACACAAAAGGTGTTAAGTCATCTGAGCTGCCACACTGCAACAGGAGCCAGCCAGGTGTGTAAGCATTCAAGCAGGTAAGAGTTAGAAGCACAGAAAAACATTTTTTCTGGACAAAGAAACTGCATTGATCTGATTTCCTGCAAGACATTATCAGTATGATTAAATGAAAAGTTTTTACATATGTAATAGCACAGAAGCCTCAGCTGCAGAACAGCAGCTTCTGATGTATTTTTTTAAGTGCCATGACTAATCTTTTGCAAAGGTAATTTCTTAGCACACGCGCTGCCAGGTTTAGATTCTTCATCTGAATGTTGATGGCAGCAAGATGAAATAAAAGCTGTTGGGCTATTTTGTCATCTGTAATTAGTAAGAACATGTTTTCAAGAAATGTTTCTCCTTAATTGCAAAATCAGCATTGTTTTAATGAGCACCCATATACTGCTTCAAAGCACAGTCTCTGATTTTTAACCAACCCCAAGCCAAGATTTAGAAGTTGCCAGATCACTGTGTTTGAGAGTTAATGAAAATGTTTGTTAGATGGTTTCCCCCCCCCCCTTTTTATTTTTTTTTGGCACAAACTAAGTATGCTGTGTTTTCTAGTTCTTTAAAATCATAAATGTGAAGTAGACATGTGGAAATTACTACTATATTTCACACACACACTGGTATACATGTTGTGTGGGGTTTTGATTCGGAGAAAACTCCAGGGACAAACTTGCCAACAAAGTTTTCAAGCTGACAAGCAGGTATTCTTTATTGCGGTGCCGGGAGACATGGGGGATAGCTCCTCCTAACGTGTGACTCCCCACTGCCACACAAGCCGTCCTTTCATAGTCACTGGGCAAACATACATATTCACGAGGATTACATAATTTTCCAGAAAGTTCCCCGCATGCATACAGAATTGTGGTGGTGGTCTCCGAGGGTCGTTAACTTCTTCCAACAATCTTCATCACTTCTGGCAGCCTTTGAAGCATGCACAGTAGATGCTCATACCAGTTTAATTGGTTCGTTAGCACCAGAGACATAATAATCCTCCTATCCTCCTACTTATCAGTTAGTTTAACTGTAGCCCATCCTGGACACCAGCGGTTCCCAGATACTCCTTATCCCTGTGTCCTGTTCTTCTAGACTGTTTTTCTTAAACTATGTCAACTGTAACGATTTATCTTGTGAGAATTCTCAGTATGTTCTCTAGCTGTACTCTTATTTTTTTTTCTCTATGTATCATGCACCTCAGTAATTTTCCATTGCTACTGTTACAAAGCCATCAAACTTAACACTACTTATAACTAATTCTAAAGGTTTCTATATTCCATTTTGTGATTTTGTGTCCCCTTGTTTCAGTTTATACACATATATACATATATATATACACACATATATCTATATATGGAATTATGGGTTTTAAAAAGCTTTCAGAGTCTTCATAGTGAAACTTCCAGGGGGAGTTCTGAATGTTTTCTATTTAGTTGTACTTATTACTGTGAGCACAATACATAAAAGCAAAAAAGGAAAAAGAGGAGAAATATGGATAGGTTTTGGCACATCTGCAAAGTAGCCATTTATCAACGTTTATCTCATTCAGGGTTTTGCAAGTTGTAATGGTATTTTTCTGGTTTTTAGGATATATCAATTTGTGAGTTGTCTTTTCCTCACGTGGATAAAGTAAAACATGCAAACCTTCCTAAAAGGAAGACTTTCATACCAGCCATGTTTCAGTCTCACGTTCAGTACAAACAGATTTTTAAAGCTGCTCTGACAGGTCGGTATAACACCATGCTATGGAAAATGCTGCTGGTTTTAAACAGCATATTTCTGCTGGTTCACAAAGCAGGATGACAGGGGGATAAATCATCAATATCACTTACTGGAACAACTTGGGTTTGGATATATACTGAAATATATTTGGTTTCTTTTAGTATGAGATTAAATATTTTGATTTAGATTTGGAAGTGTCAAATGAAAAGACATTTGTTTGAATGCTGTGTACTTGTGTAACCATTTTAAGGCCATACTAATATTTTCTTATCCTTTCTATGTCAAGAGCAATTGAATATAATGCTATTTGAGTTGTCCCAAAGATTCTACAATGCCCTTTCAAAAGTGGATATATCATTCTACACTTCATTGAAAGATGAGCAAACTGAGAGCAAGGAAAGTTGTGTTCCACTGTGCCATCACATGCATCCTGCCAAGCTTGTTATGGCTAAAAAAGAAGGTCAAAACAAGGTGCTGCTCATTTCTTGTTTACAGTTTAGGGTGTTTGTTTGGTGAATAGACCTTATTGTGTGAACAATTACAGGGCAACTGTGTATGATTTACAACTGCAGGTTAAAGTGGTGATCACTTTTAAGATCAGCTGTACTATCCGCTAGTGTCCAGAATTGTTGATGTAATAGTTTTCTCCATACAGAAACAGTTTTACCTATGTAGGAAGACCTGAATTCTTAATTTTCTTGGTTATATGGGATTTCAGTAAGCTGTGATTACACATACTGACTTCAGAAGCTAATAGTACTGAGAAGACACTTGTGGTTTTCAGCCAAAGACAGCAAAACCACAGCTATTTATTTGATAGCAGCAAGTACTGGTCGATTGTTTTACTTTCCCCCCCCTTGTTTTGATGTGCTAATGGTCTTTTTTTAATTTCCTTTCTTCTCTCTTACCAGAGTCATTTATTCTATACCTGTGATGCCCCCAAAGCTGAGCAGTGTTCATTTTTCAAGTGGATAGAAGACGTGAACCCCACACAGACAAAATCCAGACCTAGCATAGTGCTTCATGATATAAAAAGTATTGGGACATACCTCAGAAGTCAAAAGATTTCTCTCTATGAGGAATGCCAGCTTTTGGTGAGGTATTCTGAAATGCTATGCACTCTTCACTGCGTAGATGAGGTCCTCAGTGACATGGCCTTGGCAGTCCTGGTGTAACAGCTGAACTTGATCTTAAAGGTCTTTTCCAACCCAGCTGATTTTATGATTCTATGATTCACATATGCTTATGTGAATTGCAGGATTTATAAACATTCCAGTATATTCACTAGCATTTAACAGATACTTTTACTAGCTATGCTAAAAGAGGCATACAGTTGTGTGTAGAAATGTCAAAGCCAAATTAGTGAGGGAACTCAGCATTCAGGTCAGCACTCTTTTCAGCAAGAATCAAAACTTCCCAGCAATTGATCGATTGTTTAATGAAACCCCCAATGACTGCTGCATTTGAATTAGTTTGTTTCATCTTTCATAAGAGAATTTGGTTTATTCTCTTAGTGATTCTAATTTTAATGTTAGAAGTTGTATTGAAGGCTATTCTGTGCTACTTAACTATAAGGGAAACAATTTAATTCTGGCTGCATAAGAGAGAATTATTTTGCAGTCAAGACAAATGTCTTTAAAACTTGGTAATGTAAGATGATGGGCAGCTGCCAAGGTCTGCGCTGTGTAATTTGGTCCAACCTGTGGAGCTTATTTTTGGTGGTGAATCCAAAATGTGCTGATTGTGAACATACTCTAAAATTACAATTTAACAGGAAAGGCTTTGAAATTCAAACACAGCCATGTAAGAAGTTCAAGAAATTGATGAATACACCTGCCAGATTTGATGGTGATTCCAAAACCAAATTATACCTCAAACTAAGCAGAAAGGAGCATTATTCTCTCTACAGCAAAGGTGAGCAGATCTTAAGCATCAGAAGAACTGTCCCTGTCACATTGTGATTTTTAAAGTTTTGTCACCTAAAGAGAAAAAACATATCCTATTTTTAAACTCCTGACAAACATGACAATTCAATTCTCATTCTAGAAGGGCAATGAACTATCTCATGAATTCATCATTTTTGTTCAACTGCCTTTGAAGTGTATTAAATCTAAATCATTAAGTTTCAGGAAAGCCAATATTCAAATAGATGGTATTTAAGGAAAAACTTGATGTAAAAACTGGTGTTTCGCAGTTGTTGCATAGTTCTTCTCAATTATTAAAATCTCACGAAGTTGGAGGACATTCAGTGATATATTCTAAATACTTCTTAGACTGAGAATACTTCAGACCTGTCAGAAGGCAAACGCTGCTGAGTGCACCAGGAGAGAACTTCACAGTCATCATCAATTTCAGACAGTAACTACTAGAGGAATTGCAGATTATCTATTCACTCTTTCAGAACTGAACGAACACTTAGTTAGGACTTTCTAATGCCCCCTACTTTGGCGTTAGCAGGGGTTTAATTTTCAGTGTATTAAATGCTGAGCTACTTTGTCTAGCTATGTTTTCTTTAAAAGACAGCAGCAGAAGCTCTTGAGAACTCTGCATTTTTCTTGACAGATGATATTTGGGTTGTTTCCAAGACTCTCAACTTTGATCCCCTTGATACTTTCATTGCAACTAGTACTTTCTTTGGACCATCCTCCACCAACAAAATAGAACTGCTACCACTGAAAGGCTACTGTCCTTCAAACTGGAGATCAAATAGTGAGTGAGTTCTACACCAAATAATTCAGAATTGTGGCAAACAACTACTGGCCAGTGGTGAAGAATGAGATTGTAACATCTCAAATCTAATCTATTAATTTATTCACAGTATTTTTTTTCCTTGTATATTTGAGTATGTAATTTGAACACAGTACTTAGTGGAATTAAACCCGCAAAGTGGCTGGTAAGAAATTCTAAAGGGGGATGAAGAAACGGAGATAATATAAATAATGCAGTAAATAATATAATATAGAATGCAAATTGACTGTCAGGAATGCAGGTAACAGGAGCATGTTATCACTGTCCTTGAAGAACAAACCAACTGAAACCCCAAACAACTCACTATGGAGAATTTATATAAAAAGCCATGTATTAAACCTGTGATTTGGTTCTTCCATCCTTTCTTTCTGTACCTTTGTTGCTACAATGCAGAATGGCTAAAAAATGGGGGTTTCAAAATTCAGGAAAACCAAATCTGTCTCGTTTTAGTTATTTTCACCATCGTGTTTTAAAGTAACTTGGTTTGTATTACAGGAAGCTAATTCCTCTTTTGGCATTTTGTAATTCACTTATCTAGCTGATACAAAATTTTGCCTAATTTGACTTTTTCCTAATCTTATCTTTCTGTGGCCTTTTCAGTGTTTGTTCATGCCCTGCTGGTTTGTAATGCTAGTGGTGAGCTTGCATCTTTAAGAAATATGGAGGAGCACTTCAATCCATCTACATTACCACTAACACCATATCTACTAAAAATGTAAGTTAGTCTTTCAGTGATAATGTAGGCATACAGTGTGCAAACAGGTACAGAATAAACAAAATCACCATTGGGTCTGCCCTACTAAAAAGTGAAGGAGGAGAACTGAAAACAGAAAAACAGTGCAAGGAACTGTTGAGAATGCAATTTGCATTTACATGGAAAAGAAAATGTATTGGTTGCTTAATTCAAAATTATAATTTTGTAGGGTTCTTTTTTTTCTTAAAATTTACCTGCAGCCCCTGTTTTACAAACCTAGACATAAATATTAGGCATTATTATAACATTAGTCACTAACTGATCTGTATCAAGGTAATGAATATGCTTCACAGGGGTTCAGTGGAACTGTTTTTCCTTCCCATTGTTCAGCATCCCTTGACACAAAACCTAAATATGAAATATTTTCTTGGAGAATCAGAGCAACACAGGGATATTTCCAAAACTGCTTGTGATTCACTGTATAACACAAGTAATTAAATGAATCCCTGCTTCTTCTACCACTCTTAATTCTGTCAGGCTTGTGCCTTTGAAGCAAGTCAGATGGAAAGTGTTAACATAGAGCAAGAAAGGTAAAACCCAAAAGCCTATTTCATGTGATCCAGCTTTTGCCCAGGGAAGTAATAAGGGGCAGTGGCTGTTACTCACAAAGCCTCAGCATTTCAATGCCAGGTGAGTAAGAATATCAGAACCATGAATATCAGAACATAGAACACAAGAATATCAGAACTAATTATATATATGCAGTATTATAGCACAACTTTTGACCACTATATTTTCCTTAGGAATTTTGATTTTGAAAATGCTACTAATAGAGTCGAGAAAAGCAAATTTACTCCACCTGCCCTCAGCCTGAAACACACAATGAACGGACCGGTCAGCACTGAAGTGGCAATGGGCTTAGCTAAAAAGATTATCCAAACATTCTCGTTGAACCCAGATCAAGCTACATCACTGCTTCACATAGCTCAGATGATGACCTCCTGTGAAAACACCAAACCAATGCAAGAACGTCAGATCTTCCCTATCACACTCATTCGTGGTACACAGCAAATAATTGTGAAATTTGTTGCTATTGCATCTTTGCAGAAATGCTAATCCATATATACTGCCAGTGTTTGATAGAATTTAGGGATATTTCATTGTGATGAAACAGTAGTCTTGCTTCCTTAATCATATATGTACAATTCCAGGCAGACTTAAAGGAAGATTTTTGTATCTAGGTAAATGTTCACTTATTTTAAATGTAATGCAAAAGATGAGCTTGACTGAGCTGTCCCTGTGTACAGAATATCCTTTTAAACTCTTTTGTAATGCTGCTTTCCTCGCCTACTTCATGCATTTCCTGAAAATTCTTTTCCTGGATGAGGTCGCTCTGATAATGATGTTGACATTATAACATCGATTCCACCAGCATGGAGCTTCTGATCCTTGAATTTTCATTCCGCCTTTTGCAGAATTTCACATAAGTAGAGTTCTGTCCTAGAACAGAATCTATAAAAACAAACAAAAAAAAGTTATTGTCTTCAACTTATTTTTTCATATTAACCCACTTTTATGTCATCTATCACCTTTGCTAAATTGTAATATAATTTTTTTTCTATTATACAATGTCCCTTGTTGTTTTATACTTCCTTAAATCTTTATTTTATCCCTTTTCAAAACGTACAAAAAGGCAAGGCTAGGAACACCTTAGTTCAAAGATTATTTGTTTAGAATCAGTATTGAAAAGCAGTTACCATAAATGCAAGTTTTCAGATCCTTTCAAAGTAAATACATCGACAATAGTGACACTCTTAGTGCAGGTACCACTGCACTTAAATTGCCTGAGCTATTATTATTAGGCTGTCAGACACATTAATCTAGTTTAAATTATTAATCATTCCAGAATACTCATCTCTCAAACTCCTTATTTTGCACCTGGTATACGGGATGTGCATGCAGACACTTGTATTGTTTCAGTGTAATGATGAGACTCCTTACCAAGTAATACATGTATTCAAACAGAAAATTTAGAAAAAATACCATAGCTTCCCCTCTTCTGTAGGTTTTTACAAACTTACTTCATGCAGTAAATGGGAAGTGTAAGGCAACGGGTTGCCCCTGCATACCCAGAGCTGCTGAAGCAAGCATGTGCAATGTCTTTCCAGGAATCAGTATATTTCATATAAACTGAAGTTATAACAACTGATTAAAACTGTACCTTCTTGAAGAGTTTCACTCATAACTTTGGCTTTTTTCTCTTGAAATAACAGGTGGTTTTGGAGCTGGGAAGACCTATCTGCTGTCTGTTGTGATCTTGTTCCTAGTACAGCTCTTTGAAAGCAGTGAAGCTATGGAGAGTTCAAGGCTACCTCCATGGAAAGTTCTGATTGCTTCTTCTACCAACACTGCTGTTGACAGGATACTCCTGTGGTAGGTTACTGAGATTGTTCCAAAACCAATAATGCATGTAATAAAGATAATTGTGCTGATAATTGTGGTATAATTCCAGTATAACACCTCAAAAAGATGGCATTCTTTCCCTAGAAAGTGTCACACATGGGCTTTAAGTTTACCCTTGCTCCTTTGCACAGCATGTACATGCTAAAAGACTGTAAGGCTAGCTGCACAAAGACTAATACTGAGCTCTACTGTCAGTAAATGTACTAGTAAAATCCATCATGTCAGAAAGTAGTGCTCACAAATCTTTAGGAAATAGCAGTAGGGGAAAAGGGGATCGAGAGAGAGGAAGAGGCAGAGGCAGATTTGCGAAACACCAGCATGAAGCTAACATGAAATAAAACTCATAGTTTAGAAGGGTAAAGGAAGGGCGGGCACGTACAAATGGAAGACTGCCTATGAGAGGAAAATCATTAAGTCTTTAAGCATTTCTGATTCAAATCATGATGAGGTAATTTACTTTGATTTACATGAATTGTGGCCTGAGTTACTTCATCTGGGTAATCACAGAGGTTTGTGTTCTAAGGTGTCTGTTAGCCTTTTCAGAGCTACTTCTGTATTTTTCAAAATGTCTTTTTACATTTCTGTAACCTCTATCATCTCTTTTTCATCGAAGTCTACTCAGTCTTGGATTTGAGGATTTTATCAGAGTGGGAAGCGTTAGAAAAATCACTAAAGCAATTCTTCCCCACAGGTAAGAATCTTCATGAATCTAAGATTCACGATAACATGCATGCTGTAAAATTACTATTTTGAAACAGAAACAGTGGAAATACCATTCCAAATGTGTTAGAATATGCCTATCTCAGGGTTCAGGCCTCACACAGTGGAGAAATTTTACCTTGATTGGGAGTGCCACTTGTTGCTTAACAGAGCTGATGCTTTTGAAGGGGAATTAGTAGGGGAGAACAAAATAGTGGCAGTTACAGATTTGGGAGTTTACACAAGGAGAAAATGCAAAATAGACCGACTTGAAATAGGTATCTAGTGCCGTAGTGCTAAGACCTAGAAGGAAGTCACCATAAATTTCATGTCCAGTGAATTAATGGTAACAACTCATGAATTCCACACTACTTATCCAAATTATCTTTGCTATAGTGTTCTGGTGTTTGTCCTTTAACTATTTAAAAATAAGCAATCTACATAGCACTTTCAACACAATTTCAAAGAACAAAGTAAAGTTCAAGACAAATAAAGATTAAATTTCTCTTCCTTGGTGTCAGCAGCATAGCAAGGGTATAAAATGAATGAAAAACTTCTCAGTCTTACTCCACTCTGAATCCAACTGCGTACTTGGAGGAGTCATGTACTACATGTCTGTCTCTGGTTGGGGTGGAAGGGTCTGAGCTGGTGGGATAAAGGTCTGTTTTAAAAAAGGTATTATAGTAGTCTATCTCAGCTGGATTTGGGATAGTTTAGTGCATTGAGCTGTTATGTATAAAGTACGATTATTTCCTCATATTAAGTGTTCACCCAAACTGAAAACACTGTTATTTTCAATCACTGTAATGCATGTTATAAAATCTTTTTGAAGTTTACATGTTGGCTCAATCAATGAAAATGATCAGCTAAAAGAACTGCTTGCTCTCATGAAAGAAGATTTAACTCCAGCTGAAAAAATATATGTAAGGAAGAGTATTGAGCAACACAAACTGGGGACCAATAAAACCATACTGCAACAGGTACAGTCAAAGTGAGGGGATGGAAAAGGGAGGATTCACTCTGTCTTATCCATAAGGTCCAGCAAATGAGAACTGGGAATCACCTCTCACACCTGCCAAACTCCTAGTTTTGAACAATAAAATGAATGTTAGGACTAAGACAGGCTGGATTCCACAGGTTGAGCTTACCGTCTTGCCTGTGTATAACTTCTCTTAGTCAATCTTGCAGTTTCTATTTAGTGATATGAGACAGAAACCCCTTTTGAGCTTGACTGCAATCTGATTTAGTATTGCCGATCTAGTTTACAAGGTGGGGAGAGAAAAATCTCTCAGCACAGCTAGTCTGTGCTGCCATCTTGAAACTAAAATGCATATAGTCATAAAGGTGAAAGATAAGCTCCGAGTTAAATCTATCCTAGTACATCAACTGCCAAGAAGATTTCAAATGTATTTGAAGTAACTTTTCATGAAAGTATTACCTCTTAAGATTACTGCTACTTCTTGTAGAAACATCTCAATGTCTGAATACCCCAAGCATAAGAAATGGTCCTTGGATCCATCTCCATGTATACATAGTGCCTTTTACTGGAAGTTAGTTAGAACATAATTTTTTGAGACACGAGTACAACACAGCATGCAACAAAACTGCCAAAGCTATAGCTATGTGCTGCGCAGAGCTTAACTATTAAATGATCTTAACTTCTGGTCTACCTGTTTTCCCCTCACTACTAACCAAGGTGAAAGTGGTTGGAGTGACCTGTGCTGCCTGCCCGTTCCCTTGTCTGAATTCTCTTCAGTTTCCTGTTGTGATTCTAGATGAGTGCAGTCAGATGACTGAACCTGCTTCCCTCCTTCCTATTGCAAGGTACAGCCTTCCTTTTGTGTTTCAGCAGAGAAATAACTTCAAGTCAGCAGTGACACAACCTCAAATAATTGTCAGACTTACCAGACTTGCACATCTTTTGAAGAACACGAACTCCAAGGTCTCACCTCAAGGATTTTAAATTGAGACCTGCTCTTCAGTGCCTTGAGTTATTTTCATGTGGACAGAGGGCAATGGAGAAGGGAGCCTGATGGAAAGCAACCTGTGATATATAAACACAGCACATGACTAGTCTGGCATCCTTTTCTAGATTTTTTATTTTTTAACATTCTTATTTAGGTTTCAGTGTGAAAAGCTAGTCATTGTTGGAGACCCTAAGCAGTTACCACCACCTATTCAGGGATCTGAGAGTGCTCATGAGAAGGGACTGGAGCAGACTCTCTTTGACCGGCTTTGTCTAATGGTATGTACCAATAACCAGAGATGGAGGGTGAACTGCAGGTCCACTGATGCCACTGAAAGAGTTTGGTTGTGAGAGGATGAGTGTTTCAGACTGGTTTTTAATGAAAGAGATTCCACCCTATGGCACTGCTCCATAAAGGTTATTTTTACAATGCTTGGAAATTTCTAAGCATAACAAATGTAAAACAAGAAGAACTGAAAAATGACAGATTCTCCCTCCTTTTTGTGCAGTTTTCCATCCAGGTAGAAGAACTGGGGGCCATAGTATTTGTTCTGACTTTAGTTGAAGTGAATATACAAAGATTAAGCCAGCTTACTGCAGGAATTGCTTCCTCTTACACCTTATTCACCCGAGCCGGCATTGCAAAACATTTAGTAATTCTTTTTCCTTGTCACACTTCCTGTATAATTCTTTAGGGACATAAAGCAATAGTTCTTCGGACACAGTACCGATGCCACCCTGCCATCAGTGCCATAGCCAATGACCTGTTCTATGATGGAAGTCTGACAGATGGCATTTCTGAGGAAGACAGGAGTCCTTTACTGGATTGGCTTCCAACACTGTGCTTTTATAATGTCAATGGGGTAGAGCAAGTAAGTTTTTAAACTTTTCTTATATAAAATCTCAATACTGTAGGTTTTCCTCCTTTTTTTTTTTTTTTTTAATTCTGCTGTCTGTGAAAGCTAAATTTGAAGTGTTCTTCCCCACTTCCAGATTGAAAGAGACAACAGCTTTTATAACATGCCAGAAGCTCATTTCACAGTCAAGCTCATCCAGGCTCTAATTGCCAGTGGAATAGAAGGATCTGCAGTCGGTGTGATTACTCTTTATAAGTCACAGATGTGTAAGGTTTGTGGAACATATAATCAATAAAATAGTTTTCTTCAATATATTTGTTTAGAATACACTTAAAACTCTAGTTTAACTAGGAAGAGTCAGCTGGAAGTCAGAAAGAAACACTGGACAGGTAAATGAATCAGAGGCTTTTACAAACTGGTACATGTGATAAGGATGGGTAACAGTCATCTGCTTAGTAAAGCTGGAGTTGTTCCTCACCCAGTCAGCTACAGCATAAGGGCTGCTGTGATTAGTAAGTTAACTCATTAGAAACTCATTCATCACCTTCCACATTTATTTGTCTACAGATTCAGAACTTGCTCTGTGGAGTACGTACTGAGCTTTCCAAAATTAAAGCTGTCCAGGTGTCCACTGTAGATGCATTCCAAGGATCTGAGAAGGAGATCATTGTTTTGTCTTGTGTAAGAACAAGGCAAATTGGGTTCATAGACTCGGAAAAGCGAATGAATGTTGCGCTGACGAGAGCAAGGAGACATCTGTTGATCATTGGGAATCTGCCCTGCTTAAGTAGGAACAGACTGTGGGGAAGAGTAATTCATCACTGCAAAGGTAATAGCTTCTTTTTTGTCTATTTCTGAAACCATGCAGCTCATCCTCTGTAATTATATGTAAGAGACTTTATAGTTTCTGTACATACTATATAATATAGAAAGCATAAAGTATGCATACTATATAAACCAGTATATTTACTACATATAAAATATATGTCAGGAAAATGCAACTATTTGCAAGCTGCATGTTTGCAGTTTTACCTGCAAACTGTTTTTAGACTTGAAGGGCATTTGTTATCTGGTAATGCGACTTCTTTTTCTTCCATCTGCCATCAGACAGTGACACAAAGAGCACACTAGTAAGGGACAGCTGAAACCCAACACTGCATTTCTAGTCCTTTCCTTGCTTGTTTTACATAGCAGACCCAGACAGAAACAAGTTATAAACAAATTCTTCTACACAGCACTATTTCTGCATAGATGGTATTAAATAAAGAAAAATGTGTAGTATCTTTCTGTAAGTAGAGACTCATTGGTTTTGGAAGATAAATTTTGAGTTGCTAATAAAATCCATTGCTATTGGCAATGAGCTAATGCTACCAGGTAATTTCCAATTACTTTGCTTACAGGTCACTGTCTTCTGAATGCATGTGGCTGTTTTATTAGACCACAGAGGGAAAAGACAGGTTTTGAAAATCGTTTGTTGTTTTTTTTTACAGTTGCCACAGAATTTGCTGTGAACTTTAACTGTAATTATTTATGCATTTGAAAGCTAATCCTGCTGTAAAAAAAAAAACAACCAACCAACAAATGTGCCTGCCACCATCTAAATTCTTCTGTGGTAACTTTCTTTGAACTAGAAAAGCAAGAGTACCAGAAGTACCAAAATAATAATTTACTTACTTGGTTGGTATCAAGTGAAGCATCTCTTTAATGGCTGAACTCTTAACAATTTTCGAAGTAGAAATGTTACAGCAATGTGATAGGTGTGGGTAAAGTAGATGTTTGCATCACCACAGGCTGACTTAGATGATGGATGCTGCAAAGTAAGATGTAATTATCCTGTTTATCCCTGCTTTTAGAATGGGAAAATGGATTGCAGCATGTAAGCCAGTGTGAGCAGTGGCTAAATGACATTCTTAAGTCTTACTGGGAGAATCAGAAGGAAGAGAAGCAGAGTAAGAAGGAAAAATAAAAGGTGCACCTGTCTGATGAAGAAAAGATGAACTGCGTGTCTATAAAAATGATCACAACAATTGCACACCTAATATTTATATTTAATGGGGGAAACTTTTGTTTGGTTCTCAGTGGTCTGATACTTCTGGTTTGACCCCCTTTCTATGTCTATAAAAATTAATAAAGTGACTCATTTACTTGATAACTGAAATCCTTGTATGCTTACAAGGTACCTAATGTGTTGTTAGTGTTTCATTACGCTTCAGAGTAGTTATATACATATAACATTGTATCTTAGAACAATTCTGTCACCTTGCACATTTAGGAATTGGGGAAGACCCCATTCAGAGCCTTCATCCTAACGAGGCCGGGTCCGGATGTCTCTTCCCGCCGCCACGAGGTGGCGCTGCCCGCCCGTGAGGCCGGTTGATAGACCCGGAACCGAGACAAACTCGGCAGAGCCCCGGGTCCCCATTAGGGACCCCAGGATAGACCCCGTCCTTCATCACTATCGCTCCTGGCTCCAGGGAATGCCGGGATCTCGAGTGTGGAGAAGGGCAGAAGAAGGAGAAGCGGCGGGTTGAATAGCACCTTTAAATTCCGGCTGACACCTCTGTCCCAGCTCCCTAAAATCTCAATCAACAAGCCATTAGAACTCGACAGGAGTAAAACTAAATCCTCGTTTAAGTGTATTTATCCACTCCCTTTTCTCTCTTTCAAATGCTAAATCCATTTCAGCATATGCCCCTTCTTTCTCTCGCCTTTAAAGACCAGCAGCCTGGACCACTCTTGTAAATATGAAAGATGCTAATCATATGACATATCACGTCTCAGTTGGAGCCTGGAATAAAGCCGTGAGATTTGGGATCATTGCCTCCAGACAACAGCTTCATCAGCCGTAAAGTTGGTTTTTTTTCTCCTTTCCTTCAACTCTCAATTCCCTCTTTGTCTGGGGGAAAATGCAGCCAACTTGAGCCACCCCAGCCATATGGTTCACTCTGTGTTTTTTTAGTTGAAGCCTGAATTGTTTGTGACTTGCGAAGGGGTTCTTTTTTTTTTTTTCTTTCCTCCTTTTTTTTGGGGGGGTGGGGTGGGGGAGAAGTGTGTGTGTATAAAGACAGAGAAGAGGTTGCCCTGTACTGGGGCGGCTTTGCAGGTCTATGAGCTGTTCCTCATGTGTTGGTTTCAAACACTCCTGCAGCCACTTCACTGCTCTGCCTAAGAGCCACGAAATTGAACCCTCAGCCACAATAACAACCCCAGTCCCAGGGATCTTACTCTCCCTTTGGTTATTTTTCCATTTGATGGATGGAAACACCTTCTTAAAATGTGATTTGTTTCGTTCAGACTCATCTGCGCCCCCAGTTTGCGTTTGTCTATGAAATAAGAGAATCCACCTCCCAGCAAATCCCTCCTAGAAATGCCTTGACTAAGAGAATCCCTCAAGTATTTTGAGTAAAGAAGAGCAGCTTTTAAGATCCATATAAAGGAGGAGCTGAATGAGTTTGGTGCACTCCATTTTAGACAGACCCTGCTTGCTAGCAGCCTGACAAATTTTCTTTCTCTCCTTCCTCACACAACCCCCTTCCACCCCAGCCCCCAAAAAATAATAAGAAAAAAAAGCCCTTTCATCAAATCATTAAATACTACAGAGGTGGTCAAGCTAGTCCTGCTTTTCAGGCATCCAAGAAAGAAAAGGGTCCTTGAAGTTCAGAAGATGCCCAAGGAAAACTCATTGAATGACATCAAAAGAATGAGTTTCCATAGCTGTTGAAGCACGAGAGCCGTGTAGCTGCACAAAGGCGGGTTGGGGCAGTGGGACTGTCCCACTGCTCTATCCCAGCACAATTGGGTCACTGAAATAGGGAATTAATTACCATTGGAGAGTGGGCAGCCCATTCACTGCTGGCTGAGTTTTATTAAACGCCAATATAAATAACAAAACAACTCTTGTGGCTGCACTATTCCTACACGCCAAAGGAAGGATTATGTTGGGGATTAACATCTTAAAGTCTATGAGACTTTCTGACTCAAGGCTCAGAGCTGGTAATCGTATTTGTCTCCTGGTTCAGCGATTAGTGCTCTCCCTTGCGCACCTTCGCCTGGACAGCCAGTGTCCCTTTTTGCAGGCACTGGGGTTTTCACACAATCGGCTGTTCTTTTCCCCACATCTATAGAAAAGAATAAGAAAACTGAAGCGTGTTCACACCATCCTCAAGCTTCTCTTCTTCATGGGAAAGGAAGGACCAGCGGCCTTTTTTCACAAGGGGGGGAGGCAAGCCCTCGTTGGGGGGGCCCAGGGTGGCAAAATCGCTCTGCAGGCTTGCACCTGCCATGCAAATCCATTGGGAACAATCAGCCCCTGACGAGGGGCTCAGCTGGGTGGGGGTGGGGGGGGTTAGGGACAGATTCTCCTTGCTTCGATCCCAAAATGAATGCTGAACTTGCTACTGCAGGTTGGGAATGGGGGGCTGCTCCCCATCCCTCTGGGAAGCACTTTTGGCTGCAACATTCCCTGGGTGGTGTCAGGATGGACCTGGATGGGGGGACCATGGCACCGCAGCAGCCTTCAATTTCTCCCTCTGCACCCCAATATCCTGCTGGGGGGGACACACATTTTTCCCCCCAGTTTAAAAGCAGAAGCATCACACTCACCAGGTTGTGGGTGCTATCCACAAGGATTGGGGGTGCCCTGGTCACCCAAACCCTCAGGAGACTCCCGGGGGGGCCTCAGGACACAGAGTTGGGAGGGGTGAGGCCAGGCAAGCCATTAATGCTGGCTCACGACTTGTGAGGTCGGAGTGTGGACAGACTGTATCCAAAGGTCTCTCAGCAACACAGACCCTAAACTTTTAGGGCTGTTGGGTCACCTCAGAGTTCAATCTTCTTACAGCAAACAAAGCCTCTCTGAAGGTTTCCCCCCACTGCCTCCCGCACACAAGCTCAGAGTCCTTTATTTCTGGGCTGTGTGATAAGCTTAAATCATTGTGCTCCCATTTCTTGATCGTTGCCTATTTTGTGCCTTTGTTCCCGTAAAGTAGGATTGAGTCTGGCAAAGGGGCTGAAGTTGAACAGTTTGACCCTTGGAAGACAGTTCAGGCAGTGGGCAGCACTCCCTCTCCCCCCACTGCTCCTAGGAGAGCACCTCTTGGCTGAGCAGCTCAGCCAGGGCTGCCACAGACCACACAAGCATCCCTTGGACCCCGACTCATCCTCAGTCAATTTCTGCTCAGCCCTGTGGAGAAAATCTCTTCATCGGGGAATTGGGGTGAACTCCAAAAGATGCCCTGATGCTCTCAACATCGACAGAAGAACATAAATCCCATCAACAGGGTGTGGGCAGCAGGATGGACCGGCCTGGTCACAGGCAATACTGCAACACACTTTAAGGTGCTGAAAAAAGAAGAAGGTCTCTTTGTGTCACTCCCTTGCGATGCCAAGGGGACCTACAGGTTTCCATTTTTCAGTAGGAGGGGAGAGTTAAAATCTCTTGGTAGAGCCTTTAGATTCTATACAATTAGAGATTTTTCTAACAGATCAGGTAAATCCCAGTGAGCAGGTGGTCCCTGATCCCAGAGCAGGATGTCTCCACACAACCTCCAGCAACATGCCCACTGAGACTTTACCTCTGACATCTATTTTCTGCTTTTTTACCACTGGCAGCAAATAAAAATCCATTTCAGAGTCCGACTCCCCAGAGTGCCTCAGTGATGGAGCTTCCATGTGGGGAGGATGCCACGCTACCCTTGACCTTTCACTTGCCCTGACCCATGTGGGTCCATCGGGTGCCAGGCCTGGCTTTCTGCCCTAGTGGGTGCTCTGAGGAAGAAGGGATGGCATCGGGAAGCTCTCCTGTTGGATTCTTCCAGTAGCAAACTACTCCAAGTCCTTTGTTTAAGCCATTATTTTTTATCAGATGAGGCACTGGTGTTACCCAAAAGTTAACAGGACGACTGTGTCTGTCTGACAAAACAAACACAGCCTGAACCCTACACTGGTTAATACCAGAAACAGTTCACTGTACAGTATGTGCCTGACACACATATCACAAAATGGTGTAGAAGCGTGTTACAGTGCTCTTCTTTTAATAGAAAAAAAAACCAACCCTCTATTATCTGACACTGTCTCTGTATCTCCAGGTTATTTTAGGAAATAAATGGAAGCTTCAGAAGACCTACTAACCTACACACACACACACACCCACCAGGAACAAAAAGCCAAACCAACATCCCCTTGACACAACAGCCTGTAAAGTGGTTGTGTGGGGGGGGTTAAGAAGTATTTTACAGCCCGTTTTGTACCCAAGGGTTGCGTCTGACAGCACCGAGCCCACACAGGACCCTGCTGCTTTCCAGATCCAGATTTCCCACCCCGATCTCCTCAGACTTTGATCTGCTCCGTGTCAAAACCAGCTGTAAGCAGAGGGGAGAAGACACAAAACCCGCACCAGCAACCCCCCATCCCCCAAAAATGGGTGGTATGTCCCTCAAACGTTTGTGTGCCCGTCCCCTCCAGCAAGCACCTCTACGCTCCGAACCCCCTTACTTCCCTCTATAAAATGGCGCCGCCCCTTAGTCAATGAAGTGGCCGTGAGGGAGCCGGCACGCGCAGGCCACGGCGATTGGACGGCGGCGGAGCCTCTCGACCACCCTCCCCCGCCCCCCCCCCCCTTCCCGCAGTTACCATTCATTAATAAATTAGCGGCACGCTCCAGCCGAGCGCGAGGTCTCCGTTCTGTTGGGGGGGGGGGGGGGGAGGAGGAGGGGACGATGCTGAAGGGATGAGGGATGAAGTGGGGGGAGGACGGGACACACGGACGGGAGCCCCCGCGGGCAGGTTTGATTGTTCCCCGCGGGATATATAAGGGGTGTTAAGGAGCGGTCGTGTGCCAGACACGCAGCCGAAGGGCCCCGGGGCGCGTGCCACCGTTGCCCCCCTTCTTTCTCCCCTCTCCACATCCACCCGACAACTCCCCCTTCACCTCACCCTTACACCGTCGCGCTTTCCACCGTGAGGCGAAGGGGAGTGTGCCCCGTGCGGTTCCGGTGCCGCCTGTGCTGTCGCGCAAGATGCCGGTGAAAGCGGAGGAGCTGTCGGGGCCCGCCGAGGACAAGCTGCTACTGCTGGGCCTGGCCTCGCCGGCCCCTTCTCCTTCGCTGTCGTCCAGCGCCGACGAGGAGGAGGAAGAGGAGGAGGAAGAGGAGGAGGAGCCGCGGCCGGTGGTGGAGGAGGAAGTGGCGGGCGGCCGCGGTGTTCGGCGGCTTGCGGAGGGCAAGCGGCGGCCGGGCCGGAGCCGCGGTACAACTCGTACGGCGGAAACGGCGCAAAGGCTGAAGCGGAGCCGGCGGCTGAAAGCCAACAACAGGGAGCGCAACCGGATGCACAACCTGAACGCGGCGCTGGACGCCCTCCGCGACGTACTGCCCACCTTTCCGGAGGACGCCAAGCTCACCAAGATCGAGACCCTCCGCTTCGCACACAACTACATCTGGGCGCTCACCGAGACGCTGCGGCTAGCGGGGGCCCCGCCGGTGCTCCCGGGGGTGGCGGTGGGGGGAGCGGGCAGCCCCTCCTGGAGCGCCGGCACCGCCAGCCCTGCGCCCTCCGCCTCTCCCCGCACTTGCACTTTATCGCCCGCCAGCCCCGGAGGATCCGCGTCGGATGCCGAGCACTGGCCGCCGCCACCGGGACGCTTCGCCCCCGCCACGGTGCCGCTGTCCCGCCGCTGCCTTTAGCCCGGTGTTCTCGTTCACACCATCGGGATGGCGGCATCTGCGCCGCTTCCCACGGCTCTGGACCCGTCAGCTGCCGAAACCAAACTTTGTGTTTTCTCCCTCCGATGTGCACTTTGTCCAGCTCCCAAGTCTGTGACCGCGGCTTTCCACACACCCCACACCCCCCCTTCATTCCGCTCTTCCCCTTCCACCATCTGTCCCGTAGGATTTGTCGGGGGGGGGGGGGGAGAGAAAGAGGCTTAAAACCCCCCCCCACCCCTAAAGTGCTTTTTGTTAGAGGTCCGGGTTAGAAGTCATTGTATAATTTGTAGGCTTTGTGAGGGCTGAATGCAAGCGTGGAAATTTAGGCAGAACTCTCTATCAAAAATTAAATAGAGACACACACCCACACACCCCCACCCCGGGTGGGGGGAATAGGAATAGGGATGGAGAACCTCCCCATGCATTATTTATTTTGACCTTTAAGGGGACAAGGAACTCCCCCCTTCTTTCAGGAGATGAAAAATAAATCAACAGACTGAAAACATCAACAGACACGGGACATTACAGTGATCAGCTGCACGTGTGTTCACCGTTTATTTATTATAAAGGAAGATTTCATGGAAAAGATGTATTTTTTTTCTATAATTTACAGAGTTTATTCCACTATGTATTTACAGCTGAAGAGCAAAGGGATTGTTTTTTGTGATAAAATATAAATAAAAGGCTCTAATTTTCATATATTTTGGGCTTGCTGCTTGTTTTGGGGTTCCATACTGGGAATTACAGGCTGGGGGGGCTGATTCCTGTCCTGGTTCTGGGTGTAAAAGCCCCAAAATTTCTGCCTTCATAGAAGAAACCCCTTTTTTTCTGCAGAATAGGAAGCTCTTGTAGGAGTCAGTTCAGCCCCAGTGTGGGGCCAAGAGGCCATTCTTTAGGGCTAAAGCTCCTTAGGGAAACATGGAGCCAAACCAAGGAAAAGTTCCCTATTTTTTTGCAGCCGAGCAAATCCTCAAATGGATTCTAGATGCTAAAACACATGCAGGACTTAGCCTCCACCTCTCATCATGGCATTTTGGTTCTAGGGTTCCTTGTGTAGCTCATAATGTGAAGGAAACCACACTAAGCACAGAGATAAATATATAAATTCAGTGGAAGTTTACTTATGGTTTAATTTTGCCTCTTGATACAGAAGATTCTGCGCAGTGAATGTGTTGCATGGATGGATGGATGGATGGATCCAACGCACCTGCCCAAGGATGTCACCATGGAGGAGGATGAGGGATGGATGCTGGAGGCCACCAATGCCCCTCAATCATCCCCCCCCATGTGTCTGGGAGCACTCTGACTTCTGGGTCCGAACACCTGGAAATCATTAAATCCCAGCGGAGGTGCCTGAATGTATTAATTAAATAAAAGATGCAGCCTCGTGCCTTCCCCCGATCCTGGGAGCGTGAAACCCAGTGCTGGGAGTGACAGCCTCAAAAGGGCAAGAAGGGATAAAAAAACAACCCCAAAATGTGTGAAAAGAGAATTAGTGAAATTAGGTTAGGCCAATAAAACATGTGGGGGTTCCCCGCAGCCTTGGGCGAGCAGCACGATGGAGCCTGAGCTATTGTTCCCCCCCCCCCCCAGCAGGGGGGTTATTGTGTGATAAATAATTCCTTCCAAAAAAGAAGAAGAAGAAAAAAAATTAAGTGGGAGCATTTGCATAATCACTGCTTTGATGTGGGCAGCACGATGAAGCTGTGTCACCCCAAATCTGCCATGGGCTAGGAGGAACAAAACAAGAGGGAGCCTTTCAATCCATTAGCAGTGTGCAGGGCAGCCTGTCATGAGAGGAGGCTTCACCCTCGATCACTTTTCACAACCCCCTTTCAATGATTAAACTCCAGTAATGCCCCCCAAAAAAGAAAGCCAGAAGCTCACTCAGCCTCTCTGTCTTTTCTGGCTGAGTCTCATTGTCCTTCCCAGTTTCTCTCTTGCTTTTAAGAGATCCTGGAGTAGGTGCCTTCAGCTCTTCAAAAGGTTGGGATGGGTGGGATGTGCTTCAGGTACATCTCAGGTGGCTCAGTACTCATATGCTCCCTCCAGCACTCTTTGGGAGGAATGCTGCTGCTTCCCAAGTTTGTCATCCTGGAGGTATTTCTTTCCATTCCAGGTACAGACTCTGTTACATCCACTGTCCGGCCGGACCATGGCAGTGGGAGCCACTATGGGAAAATGCACACGTAGCGTTGGAGAATGGATTGGGAGTGGGAGAGGAGTTTTCTGGAATTCGAGTTGGGTGCCATCACACAGACCAAACCCTGGTCCCTAGGATGGGCTTGGCTGGAGATGCCCTTGAAGAAGATTGGGAAGGGGCAGCAGTGCAGTGCTGGCAAAGGGAGATACAGAGACAGGACTTGTTACCTTCCCCATTAATCCACATCCTGATTTCTCTTCCAAATGTAGCCAAAAGAGCTTATTTCCCTCTTTCTTCCTCCTGAACTTGAAAGAGTTAATTTCCCTCTTCCCCTTGTTTTCCTTCAGTTTTCCTCTTTTCTCTCAGAAGACTGATTTTTGGAGGTGAAGATCAGGAGGCTGGATGGGGCTTGGAGCAACCTGGTCTGTGGAAGGTATCCCTGCCCATGGCAGGGAGCTGGAACTGGATGAGCTTTAAGGTCCCTTCCAACCCAAACCAACATGTGATTCTAGGATTCTATGAAATTGCAGTGAACCTGGATGCAGGATAGCAAATCGCCTCTTAGGAGGAAGTGGAAAACCTAGGAGCAGTTTCCAAGCAGCACCTTGCCCAAATAATGCATGTTTATGATCCTTTTGCACACTGTATTTTGGAACAGCATTCCTGACTCAGCCCCTCATCTGGCTGGTGGATTTTAAGATGTGGCAGAGAGCTTAGATGCCTCACTGCTGAGCCACTGGGTGTGAATCCAGACTAGAAGTGAAGGTAGAAGATGTGGCAGGATGATAAATGCAATTTAGGTTGCTTCCTAGGTAAATCTGAAGACCCCAGCATGAGGGATCTACCTCAAAGAAAAAACCAATTTCCTAAAGCCCTATTCAGGTGCCTCAGGTTGAGGTTCAGGGTCCACTGCTCCCCAGGTTTGACTATTTTATTGTCACAGCAGTTCCTTGGTTTCCTGATGGTGAAAATGTTGGGAAACAACTGGATGAGGGTTCACCTGCTACAGGCCATCCTGTGGTGCTCTCTGATGAGTTTGCTATTGAAACATGTATGACACTAAATTAAGTACACACACTAGCTGTCTTTTTGACACTGCATCCATTAGTTATTGCATAACACTGTTTTAATTGAAAAGACTGATCATCTGGGATATTAAAGTTACATATTTTCTTATCTCCATAATAAACTATGCATGGAGCGTCTGGAAATACAATGAAAGGCCACCCCACAATACTTGCAAAATGTATTTTTTGTGTATAAAACATGTTTCTCTGCAGATGATCCCACA